TGATCTCCAGCACCTCCCCCTTGCTGATCTCGCCGTTCCTGTCCACGTCGAAGAGCGAGAAGGCCCACTCGAGCTTGAGGTGGGTCTTGCCCGACGAGGTGAGGTGCAGGGCGATGATGTACTCCCGGAAGTCGAGGGTCCCGTCGTCGTTGGTGTCGAAGCTGCGGAAGACGTGGCGGGCGTAGCCCTGGGGGTCGGAGTTGGGGAAGAAGTTGCCGTAGATCTTCTCGAACTCGGCGCGGGAGATGCGGCCGTCGGGGCACTGCTTCTGGAAGCTCTCGTACCAGCGGCACAGCTCGTCCTCCGAGTACCGCGTGGAGGCCTTCAGGTCCTCCAGCACCTCCCGCGACAGAGCCCCGCTCTTGGCGTTGCCCATGGCGGGGGGAGGGCGAGGAGGGGCCTGGGAAGGACAAAAATGGGTCAATAATTCAGGAGGAGGATGAAGATGATGAGGAGGAGGAGGCAGAGGGAGGGTCCAGGGGCCTTCAGGTCCTCCAGCACCTCCCGCGACAGAGCCCCGCTCTGGGCGTTGCCCATGGCGGGAGAGGGGGGAGGAGGGGCCTGGGAGGGGGAAAAAAAGGACAAAAATGGTTCAATTATCGAGGAGGAACCCGAAATTAGGAGGAGGAAGTGCCTGGGAGGGAGAAAAACAGGAGAAATGGGTCAATAATTGAGGAGGAGGAGGAAGAAGAGGCTGGGAGGGAGAGAAAGGAGAGAAAGGGATCAATAACTGAGGAGGAACCCGAAATCGGGAGGAGGAGGAAGATCCAAGAGCCCAAAACAAGGAGGAGGAGGAAAAAGAAGGTTCTGGATCCCAAAATGAGGTGGAAGAAGAAGAGGAAGGTTCTGGATGAGGAGAAGGTCCCAGAACCCAAAAGGAGGAGGAGGAGGAAGAGGAGGAGGAGAAAGAAGGTTCTGGACAAGGAGAAGGTCCCAGAACCCAAAAGGAGGAAGAAGAAGGAGGGGAAGGTTCTGGACCCCAAAAGGAAGAGGAGGAGGAGGAAGATGAGGAGGAGGAGGAGGATGAGGAGGAGGCAGAGGGAGGGTCCAGGGGCCTTCAGGTCCTCCAGCACCTCCCGCGACAGAGCCCGCTCTGGGCGTTGCCCATGGCAGGAGCGGGGGGAGGAGGAGGCTGGGAAGGGGGAAAAATGAGAGAAATGGGTCAATAATTGAGGAGGAGGAGGAGGAGGAGCCTGGGAGGGGGGAAAATGAGAGAAATGGGTCAATAATTGAGGAGGAACCTGAAATGGGGAGGAGGAGGAAGATCCCAGAGTCCAAAACAAGGAGGAGGAGGAAGAGTCTGGGAGGGAGAGAAAGGAGAGAAAGGGATCAATTATTGAGGAGGAACCCAAAATCAGGAGGAGGAGGAAGGTCCCAGAACCCAAAAGGAGGAGGAGGAGGAAGAGGAGGAGGAGGAGGAAGAAGGTTCTGGACAAGGAGAAGGTCCCAGAACCCAAAAGGAGGAAGAAGGAGAGGAAGGTTCTGGACCCCAAAAGGAAGAGGAGGAGGATGAAGAGGATGAAGAAGAGGAGGAGGATGAGGAGGAGGAGGAGGATGAAGATGAGGAGGAGGAGGAGGAGGAGGCAGAGGGAGGGTCCAGGGGCCTTCAGGTCCTCCAGCACCTCCCGCAACAGAGCCCGCTCTGGGTGTTGCCCATGGCGGGAGCGGGGGGAGGAGGAGCCTGGGAGGGGGGAAAAAGGACAAAAATGGGTCAATAATTGAGAAGGAGGATGAGGAGGAGCCTGGGAGGGGGGAAAATGAGAGAAATGGGTCAATAATTGAGGAGGAACCTGAAATGGGGAGGAGGAGGAAGATCCCAGAGTCCAAAACAAAGAGGAGGAGGAAGAGTCTGGGAGGGAGAGAAAGGAGAGAAAGGGATCAATTATTGAGGAGGAACCCGAAACCGGGAGGAGGAGGAAGGTCCCAGAACCCAAAAGGAGGAGGAGGAGGAAGAGGAGGAGGAGAAAAAAGGTTCTGGATGAGGAGAAGGTCCCAGAACCCAAAAGGAGAAGCAGGAGGAAGAGGAGGAGGAGGAAGAAGAAGAAGAAGGTTCTGGATGAAGAGAAGGTCCCAGAGCCCAAAAGGAGGAAGAAGAAGGAGAGGAAGGTTCTGGACCCCAAAAGGAGGAGGAGGAGGAGGAAGAGCCTGGGAGGGAGAGAAAGAAGAGAAAGGGATCAATAACTGAGGAGGAACCTGAAATCAGGAGGAGGAGGAAGGTCCCAGAACCCAAAAGGAGGAAGAAGAAGAAGAGGAAGGTTCTGGACGAGGAGAAGGTCCCAGAATCCAAAAGGAGGAGGAGGAAGAGGAAGAGGAAGAGAGAGGAAGGACAAAAATGGGTCAGTAATTGAGGAGGAACCCAAAATCAGGAGGAGGAAGAGCCTGGGAGGGAGAGAAATGAGAGAAATGGGTCAATAATCGAGGAGGAACCCGAAATGGGGAGGAGGAGGAAGAGGAGGAGGAGGAGGAAAGTTCTGGACAAGGAGAAGGTCCCAGAACCCAAAAGGAAGAGGAAGAGGAAGAGGAAGAGGA